AGTCGGTGACTCTGTTTTCTGGCCGTCGTAGATGGTAACTGCGATGCTGAAGACACTGGGCGAGTCCCTCAGCAATTCTGTGTGAGGTGAGCAGCCATCTAGATGGGCAAAAAAAATTAACTGCAGGATGTCCAGGGGCCTCCCTTTTGCCCCTGCAGACCTCCCTACTGTGTTTGCGTTGGGTAGGAATGAGGTCTTCTCCATCTCATTTCTGAAGGATGCTCAAGACTTTTTCAGCTTCACTTGTGTGTCGTATAAGGCCACTATGTTATGTTGTCCAGGTGTTGGGACTCAGTGGGTTGCATTCTGAATTAAATGTGAATTCTGAATTAAATTAACCCAGAAGACCTGAGCAAAGCAATACATCTGGTCCCTTGCCTGCATGACTGCATTTGGTCAGCTTGATGGGTTTTCAGGTCTTAACGTGAAATGCTGTTCATCGGAAACGCAAGAATGAACTAAACCAGATAACAGATATTACATTGTATCTTCCCTGTAGTTAGTCAATATCTGATTAAATATAATTGCATGAATTTATCATGATAGAAACTGTTTCAAAGCAATTCAAATACAGCTTGAAATTAAAAGTTTTACTCTGTATTCAATATGTACTATTTTCAGGTTTATCTTCAGTTTCTTATCAAGACCGATGCTGTGTATTATGTATTATGACAATGTTGCTTTTCATAATGTTCGGAATGTAATGGAATTTTTTTGGACCAAACTTCTAATAGCTGATAATTTAAATGAAAATCACCAAGATTATGCCAAGAAAGACAAATCTTGAAGACAGGTGTTATCGCTCTCCTTACGCTAATACAGATGTCACATTTTTACCTATAAAAGTAGGATTAATCACTAATAAGTAGAAATATGTTGAGAAATTAAGCATGGTATAAATACAAAAGACACTACATAAGAAAAAATTAATATGTAAATTTACATCAGAAACTAGCTCTCGTTTGATGTGATGTGTACCATGAACATTTTTTTGAGACTTCACAATTATTCCCGCCTGAATGTGGACAAATCCAAAATATCTTGAAACTCATGTAAAATCTGCCTGAATAAGTGGCTGGTTGGGATGAGAGAAACAGAGATTTGAAGTACTGGGATAAATCAGAAGTTCAAAGATTTTTTTTTTGTTTTTTTTTTTTTTGTTTGTGGTATGCGTTTCTTAATCTCTCCTGTTTTGGGCTTTTCCATGGTATGTAAACAGGGTGGACATTTGCTTTGTATGGGAGACCCAGAGAGACATTCCTCCTTCCTTCCAGTGCCACGCAGTGATTATTTTAATGAGTCGTACGGTGTAAAACTGCTCCAGCAACAGGACTTGATCCATTCCCGTCTCAATGAAACGTGGCTCTGGTATTTGTCTGAAGCGTTGGAGAGATTAATTAAAATCCCTTTGTCAGAGACACCTCTCCAGATTAACTGGTTGTTCATCCACAACTCAAAGATCAGGGCCTTGAATGCGAGTCCCAAAGTTCAGAGAAATGCCTGAGTAATATCTGGTTTTCCCTTTCAGGCTGGTTCATCATGGACTGATTGCTTTTCCTGCTGCATTTCTCATGTTGCTTTTGTGCATCCCATGTTCACACATGGTATGGAGCTAAACCAGTTCCAGGTCTGGTATTTTGGTTGTCAGGGATATTAAATGTAGGACACGGGGTCTGTATTCAGAGCTAAATTTTGCACCTCGAATATATTCTCAGCTTTGGTTTAGCCTTGCCATTTATTTGCACTGGCAGATTTCTTCTTAAGAACCCGCTAAAAGCCTTTTCGATGGCTGTATTTGTGGGATGGGACTGTGGGTCCTCTGGGAGCTGGCTCTCTTCGATCTCTGCCCCCTGCCTTTTTTCCCCTCTCTTTCTCTCCAAGTGAAGCCTCTATTAACAGACTTGTCCTCAATGAATCCAGCACACAGGGACTATGAAATGCAGAGTGGCCACCAGGTTGCCCTTAGGCTGAGCCTGTCCCCTTGGTGTTTTAAGCCTCTTAGCAAGCTTTTTCTTTTTTCTTTCTTTTTTTTTTTTTTTTTTTGTTTTTTTTTGGTTTTTTTTTGTTAATTCTAGGACCAAAGAAGACAAGAGACTGAATTATCTGAATTATGCTTCTACAACAGAACTGGGTTTCTCCTCATTGGGCATGGCAGAGCCTGGGGAAGTCCTTCCTTTTGTTTGTTTTCTTAATGTTACAAACAGCTGATTTGGAAGCCAGGAGAGGTCATCATTTTGTCTGGAAAACAGGTAGGAAAAAGATAAGTTGGCTTATCTACTAGATAATTCCTGCATTCGAGTGATTGCCCTTTCTCCATTCTGCTTTAGCTCAATAATTAATTAAAAAGCCTGATAATGTCTTCTATTCTAAACTTTTTTGTAACTGAAAAATAGGGGGGTTTAATCTCTATTCTGAATTAGTAATCTTCATGTCTGTTGCAGTTAGGCACCAGAACGACTCTAGAGTATAATTCTGGACTCCTTAATGCTGTTAATCCAAGAGTAAAATTTTTACTGGATCCTGATATCATTATCCTAAAGCTGCTTCCTTTGAAATATTTAATCATTTTCTTTTCATGTTTGAATGAAAAGGGCACACCAGCGTCTTTCAGGATGAACTGAGCCAGAAGTCCATACTCTTGGCTGATCTGTTTATAACTTCATTGGTACATTTAGTGAATTATTTCTGTCCGTCAGTCGGATGGGTTACATGCAGTGTTTGAACGTTCAAAATGGGGCATGCACAACGTTTGGAAACTTTTGGGAAGACACATTGATAACACAGCGATTCTTGGTGAGAGGGAGGAGGTAAATAAGAAATGGTACGATACAGATGCATAAAACTAAGCATGATGCATTGGCTGCTTATTTTGTAGCACAACACAACAACAAAGAATGTTCAGTGAAGTGGAAAGATTGGCAAATTTGTGAAATGTTTACTCAAAGTACTTCATCAAGAATATGCAACTGAACCAGGGGTTTTGTTGCCCAGGATCCCTTTGAGGTTTGGCCTTTTATGACTGAGCAACAGAGTGATTAAATTTGATGGAAAAATAATTTTCCTTTTTCTTTTTTTTTTTTTTTTTTTTGTTCTTTGCTGTTTTGGTTATTTGTTTTAGTTCTGTGGAAGGTAAGAGACTGAATTAGCAGAATAATGGAACAATTATTCTGGGAGGGCTCCTGTCCTTCTGGTAGGACCAATGCAAGCTTCTCACTCTGTCACCAGGGTGGGAGGCTGAGTGCTGGTGAAGTGCTGGTTAAGAACAACCTGATACTATATTTCTAAAGACTTTTTTTTTTTTACAATGTCTTGCATGTAAAATGAAGAGGAAATACAAGAAGAGGAAAACAAAAACTGTCTTTCTCCAGTTCACTGTTATTTACGTGATTTTTGAACAAGCTTTGAAAGGTAGAGTTGTTTTCTTAAGACAAATTAGACCCTTCAATGCTGGCTGTCTACTCTTCAGTTCTGGAGGGTATTGTACACTCTGTCATCAGGGGTGTGCATTGGAAGTCATAAAAACTTAACTTGATGATTCCAGCTGACAATAAAGAATTATCAATGCTTCAAAGGCATCTGAGGCAGAACTAAGAAAAGGCGGTGCAGAGGTTTGCGTGGATGTGGGGTACCATGCTCTGAAAGCCCCGTGATGAGCTTGCTGTAAAGGTCTGTCTTCCAGAAGCAGAAGAAAACTGTCAGTTCCTGTGACTCCCACAGTGAATTGGAAATATCTGAGCTCTCAAGAGTAATTTTTAAAACCTTAAATCCTAACAGTATTTTGATGCACTTTCTCTGCTTATGTGGTGATGAGAGGTAGAAAACCACTTTGAGTGAAATGTTTTCCATGTGAAAATAACTTGTGAGCTTGAGCCAAATTCATTGTCCTGTTTGGCAAAAACAGAGACTATTTTTTTTTCCTCCAGTTAAATATTTTTATGTTTATAAACAAAGTTTTCATTTTTTCATTGGAGTATTTTGTTGAAAATTGGAGAAAATTTATATCTAAACCAAAAATGTTTAGTTCTAGGTTGAAATGAATAGTATGCACACCCAAACCACTTTGTTTTGCTAAGAAACAGAGTATTATTTGTGAAGCCTCTACTTTCTCTGCGATAGTAGTGAAGCAGCAGCATTTCCAAATCCTGAATCTCGCTCTTTTGCGACTGTCACAACGGGCTGAGATTTCTGTCGGTAGGCTGAACGCATGCTTAATTGGGAAAAATCTTGGTTAAAAGGAGCTAGGTGTGTTTTGCAGTGTCAGGGCCTATGTAATAAACTAATGGTTTGCTTTCAATAGTTCCTCTGCATGGGTTGCCGATTTCATTTCTGAGGCATTTGGAAGCATGTATATCTAAGTAAAATTGCAGTGACCTTGAAATTAGTTACAAAAGAGTGTAAATGGCAGCCTGTACTTTGCTTGAAATGATTTTTCAGGTATGGTTAATCACAGGGAGCTGTTTTGGGAAGAGAGGGATGGTAGTGTGGATGGAGCAGGTGGACCTGGAGAGGTAGAAGGGTTAACATAACCTGTTGTGGCAGCATATGAATAGTAAAGTAACTTTGGGATGTAGATCATGGAGATCTTGACCTAATGAGCACTGCTGTGCCCAATAAAAGTTAAATAAAAGCACAACACGATGAACCTAAAACGAATCGTAGAATTGTTTAGGTTGGAAAAGCCCTTTCACAGAATCACAGAATGGCAAGGGTTGGAAGGGACCTCGGGAGATCATCTAGTCCAACCGCCCTGCTAAAGCAGGCTCTCCTAGAGCATTCTACACAGGACTTCATCCAGGCGGGCCTTGAATATCTCCAGAGAAGGAGACTCCACAACCCCCCTGGGCAGCCTGTTCCAGTGCTCTGTCACCCTCAAGGTAAAGAAGTTTTTCCTCATATTCAACTGAAACCTCTTATGTTTCAGTTTGCGCCCATTGCCCCTAGTCCTGTCGCTGGGCACCACTGCAAACAGACTGCTTCCATCCTCCTGACTTCCACCCTTAAGATATTTGTATGTGTTGATGAGGTCCCCTCTCAGTCTTCTCTTCTTCAGGCTGAACAAGCCCAACTCTCTCAGCCTTTCCTCGTAGGGGAGGTGCTCCAGTCCCTTTATCATCCTAGTTGCCCTCCTCTGGACTCTTTCTAGGAGTTCCTTATCTTTCTTGAACTGGGGAGCCCAGAACTGGACACAGTACTCCAGGTGGGGTCTCACCAGGGCAGAGTAGAGGGGGAGGATAACCTCCCTCGACCTGCTGGCCACACTCCTCTTAATACACCCCAGGATACCATTGGCCTTCTTGGCAACAAGGGCACATTGCTGGCTCATGGTCAGCTTGTTGTCTACCAGGACTCCCAGGTCCCTCTCAGCAGAGCTGCTTTCCAGCAGGTCAGCCCCCAGCCTGTACTGGTGCATGGGGTTTGATCTCCCCAGGTGCAGCACTCGACACTTGCCCTTGCTGAACTTCATCAGGTTCCTCTCCGCCCAGCTCTCTTTAAAATCATCAAGCCCAACAGTTACCCTAACCCTGCCATCCCACCACTAAACCCTGTCCCTAAGCACCTCGTCTGCCCATCTTTTAAATACCTCCAGGGAAGTAGCTTTTAAGGTCAAAACTGAGCAGATGCATTCTGATAGGAAAAAAACCTACAGCTGTTGTCTTTGTTTTTTCTAATGAAACAATCTAATGAGATATGAGCAATCCCTAATAGGAAAGGAGATGATCTGTTTTTGTTTTAAATCTTGACTTGTCTGTTGCAAGCATGGCAAGATACTTACCTACTGTAGAGAAATTCAACTTCTTATTGAAATGCCATGCTTTATAATTAAATAAGATTATGTTACTGAAAGCTCTGACTTTAAGAAAGTGATTTTATATGTACTAAAGTAAATTTTCCTAGCACACAGAAGTCCAAAGATGCATCCTTAATATGGATGGGGGGGAAAAAAGCATCGTATCAGCACTGAAGTTCATAAAGCAGGCTTTTTTCAGCTAAATCCTTGGCTTTATCTAATGAAAACTCATACATTTTCATGCTGGACTTGGTGGTCTTAGTATAGGTGAAAGCAATTCTCCTGAAATCACTGCATCTACAAAAACCCCAGGCTCTATATTTCTAAAATGTAAGAACTTGGCAGCGTGCGGTAGATTATACATACTCTTCCCTCAGCTGTTCAAAGGGCTATCACTTGTGTTTTGCTGCTTTGTGGCCAGTCTTAAAATGATTTATTTTTAGCTTTCGGTTTCTAGAGATGATATATTAATGTCTAAGTATCTGTACACTGTATCTTTTGGTTTCAAGACATTTCTTGTCAGATACTTATTTTGTGACCACCAGCCTAAACATGAAAGCGATAATTAAATCAATTAAATTACTCAGCAATCTCAAATAGCTAAATAATTTTCTGACACTTGCTAACTAAAAAAGCGGGTTTAGTGATAACATCTTGAGAAAATTTAATTGGATCTAAATCCTTGTAAATTAATATTGTTTAATGCAGTAGCCAATGAGCGATTTGCATATTTCACCATGTTGATTTTCTTCAGCTCTTGAATCGTCCTGAAAGTGCCTGGAATTTCTGTAATGCAAATACGTCTATGTTTTAGTGATGGCCATTCAAGCTTTTAAAACTGTGTATAGACTCTTCATACACATAGGAATCTGCAGCATGATTCTAGTTGGTTTATTTTTTGGTGAAACTCTAAAATACAGTTCTAAAGTCCAAATTAAGTCTAAAATATGTAGAACACAGGAAATATTTTGGGCACTTTACAGGAGAGGGGCTGATAATTAGGATTACAAAATGCTGAGAATCAGCCCTTCCCAGAGATGCTTGCATGGGCAGGTTGCAGTCTTACCATCGCTGCTGGTGTCTTCAGCACTTCCATTAACTCTGCCTCGGTAACCATGCTATTTTCCCCAAAATACTAACAGAACAAAAGGGATAAGGGACATACCCCATAGAGGTAGCTCTCAGAGCTAAAGCAGTGATGTGGCTTTTTTTTTTTTAATAAGGGGAATATTGTAAAAATGTTTTTGTAGGATGAAAATGTTCTGATTTTTTGGAAAATAGTTCTCTAATTGTGGTAAAATGCTATTTAACATGGAGATAATACTCTGCCTACTACGGACGGGAGGAAAGGGGGCTGTTAGAAACCCAGAGGTTGTGTCCCATTGAGTTCTCCATCTGTAATTCTCCAAAAATTGAATCGGGATGATGATTTAGCCCAGCAGGGACATGCTCCCTGTTACG